GAAAAATAGCTTGCTGCCTACGAATGCCGGACTGAGCACTTCGTCTCTGCATTCAACCGTCTTCAGTTTATTAGTATCATATCATCATCCGCACACTAACAATACGATTTTCCTCGTGAGGAACCTTACGTGTTATTTATAGCGATGAAAGTCATGGGGAAACCGTAGCATCTCGGATTTCACACCAGTCTAGATTGAATGCTACCTAGAGAAGAAGGCAAATATGTGGCAGCCGTAATCACCCAGTGCATGGTACAAGGAGAGAACCTAATCACACAGCGGATAGAATAGGCGGTTCCAGCCCCTCTGGATGTTACTTGTACATACTACATACACGCGATCAGCCTGTGGACTGTGTAATTCCGTTGAGTATGGCGGCAGATCGAGGTCGTTCCTTAAATGCAGTGTAACAGCGTGCATAGCTTACATACTTCGGAATAAGTGCGTACTTCCCACCCATGAGATTGTTCATATTAGCACCGAACTGAAAATTTGTGGCTGTGCATAGCAGAGCTAATAATCTTTTCATACCTTACCATACAGTAGAGCAATCTCAGATGGTGTCCGAGTGGATCTGAAGCTCCGATGACCCACATAGTCATCGTAACCAACCATAGCTAAGAGCTCTTTCATATCCACGCTAATTTTCAGAGTCACCTACCTCATTAAGTATAGCGTTCTAGCGACCTAATCCATATTGCTCAGGATTTAAGAAAGGTTCTGTCAACAAGCCTTGGTGGGTTCTATTTTCCAAACGCATTCAGAACATATTAGTGGTAGAATCATGGATCTAACAAGGGGGATGAACGCTAAGCTTCGAAACACTTGCCAAAACTGGCAATCAATTAGAATACCTTGGAACATTGGTACTGTTTAGCACACGACTTTCTTTGCAGTCTCCGGTAAACAGGCGTAGTAGGTGGCTTAGAAAGAGAAGTCGTATATAACCGCAGATCCTGGATTTTGTCTTTGTTCAAATTCCTATTTCCTGCTGCTCCCATCATCATTAAACTGTATTTGAGGAAAGCCGAATACTACACAATGCATCTGACCGGGAGAAATGGCATATCAATTCTGCAACTTATTGTCTATGTCCCTTTCCTGGTGATCGTATGGATCGCCTCTTTGAGGCACGGCTTTCGCCGTTCCACAGGCTGGGTCCTGATTCGATTGGCATATCACCACTGATGCTTGCCACTTTGGGTTGCTATCAAGACTGTAAGAGATTGGAGACCCTTTTGCTTGCCTGCCCCGCCCTGCGACGAACCACCCAAAAAGTGGAAAAGAACAACACTGACATGCCCGTGAAGTACGGGCTTAATTCGAAAGGAAATAGAAGTTACCCTGGAGCCGAAACTCTCCCGTCTGACACAAATCGTCGTTTCGGTGGCCGTCATCCTCAGCATTGTCGGGAGTGCCTCCTCGTCCGATCCTAACCACCCAAAGTCCACGTCCCGTGTTGGGGTCTGCTTGTACCTTGCTGCTTTAGCCGGATGCGTTCTGCTTCTCGCTCTCTCCTGGGGCATGTTACGCTAATGTTAGAATATACCTAGGCGGGAGTGCCTAGCCATCTTCGTTGTCGGAATCACGTTACCCTTACTCCTGGTACGGGTTGTATATTCAGTATCATCGGTGTTTGCCAATAGTTCTGTGTTCGATCTTGTGAAGGGATCAATTTCAGCCAAGGTCTGCATGGCGGTGATAGAGGAGATCATAATCGTTGTCATGTATGCTAGTTATGGCTGGTACCTAAACCCGCTCAAGGATGTGCAGAGCGCTTCCCCACTGCGATCTGTGGAGGAAGAGACGCCATTTAGAGGATCTTAGTTACCAAGACGTGCGATAATGTTGCGGAAACCATTGCTTGCAGCTCTAGCCCTGGCATACTCCTAGAGTCCACCCAAGACGTGGTGGTGTCAAGAGACAGAAATATTGATTTTGCGAGGCCTGATGCGTCGGTTATAACAACAGCTTTGTTGTGTTGAAACGGAGGTTGAACTGCTCATATCATACGCTGTCGGCTTTGAACACCGACGTAACATGGGAATTGTCGGGTGTAGAAACGAGTTGTCGTAGGCAATATCTGCACCGATCTGCTGATATCCCAAATAACATTCGGTGAAGCATTGCTTAATTTGATTAGAAAAGAGGTTATATAGATGCGTGCGCATTAGGATAAGTGACAAAGGAGGAGCCTAGTTGTGCAATTACACCATATCAGATAAGTCATAATCCTCTGTAAAATCATCACATGTGGGTATAAAACGACTGATCATCTTTCCAAAGAGATTGTTCTTTCTGACATTTTTGCCGCTTCCTCCGCCGGCTGTAGATTGTATCTCACCTTAAGGTTTCTCAACTGATGAAGAATATAAGTGCGGCTAGCTTCCAGGCAAGACTCGGCATTTGCTAGTTCAGCCAAAAGCCAGAGAGCATAGCGCCCACTCATAGCTGCGCCTTCAACAGAAGGATCTAACAGTTGTGGTGCGGCCTTCAAGACGACAGAGGTAATATCCTTGACCTTTTCGTGCATTATTTCCAACTCTTGCGTAAAATAAGATTACATCAATGCCGAAGGTATCACTCTTGGCAACGAGCGAGAGCAGTTTCATTCTAAGCGTTTTGCTTAGGGACCACCGTAGCATCTGTACAATTAGCCATGTTTTTATGGCCTTCGTGTTGCTTGTCTCGCGTGTGAAGCCGTTCTGGTAGCTACTGATACAGCTCTCTAGGCCGGGGCAGATCTGAACCAATTGCTCCTCAAATTCTTTTACATCTTTGATCAGTCCCAGACACGCATCGGTCGATGTAATTGGCTTTCGCATAGCAGAAAGCATTTGGGGTAGCCGATTCATCAGAATGTCATTGATATAAAACCCCCGGTTCAAATCCTTCTCGTAGAAACATTTCTCAGATTCCAGCCGCAACAAGTCGCACGGCACTGGTTTGGATTCTAGCAAACATATTGATCGGATATTTGTGGAGATATGGGACAAGAGAGATCGTCCTTCTGGGCTGCTCAATTGACGACATCCTCGCAAGCGGGGTAAGGCCAATGTGCCATGTGAATGAGCTGCGCATGAAGAGATGGAGTAGCGATCGCGGATAATAAGTGATTCGAAAAGACCCAGAAGGAGAACTGAGATTAATGTTGAAACAAGTCTAGCCATCGACGGGTTTGTTAATGCAGAATTGATTTCAGCAATGGCGGTGCAATAGGACCTGTGTGCCGCTCGATTTACCGCTTGGAACGGACGTTCGACGTGTAGGTAGGCAAAGGCTGCCGCTTGAATAGTGGGAGGTATGGGCTGGGCATTAATAAATGTATGATAGTGATCAAGTAGGAAAGAAAACCTTGAGGTAGGCAAATAGATGTTTACAAAGAACGCATTTGCCACCTCTTCGAGTGGCTGGGCTAAGGGTCTGGGCACTGCGACAAATTCTGTAGCTGATATGCAGCTTTCGTTATTGTTAAAAGAGTTGTATTCTGGAGTAAGGTATATCCTCAACCTGGAACCATTGGGGCCTATCAACGCTGGCGAGCTAAACTGTGGCCCTGTCCTTGGCCGTCTCCGGGCTTTTTGAGCCACGGTTTGGGTTTCATCCCGTATAACCAGGCCACCGAGATCTCTATACCCTGAACAGGGGATACACTTACGAGCGCATTGAGTACAGCGTGGGTGTTTTCTATCGCACTATTCTGACCTTTTCAGCTATTCATTGTCTTACATAGTACGGTGAGGAGGTAGAGCCATGGTCATCCATACCTTGGCACGCCTCGCACGACAGGGACCGCCAAGCCGACGATGGCTCCCCTGAATAACCCATCATCAAGCGGACGCGTTGGATGTCCTCCCGAGTAGAGCAACCGCAGCGGGGTAGCTGGCCAGCCGAGGGAATAACTCTGGTGAGAAGATAGGATGGTGGATGTGAGAGATTGAGCGGACGACTCTTCTTTTTCATAATACTCACCAGTTAAATTTGGTCGACATCACGTGTGAAGTTTCCAGAAGTGTTGGCTTCATTCTGGTGTATTTCCGGTTTGGGAGATCTGAGATTTCGCTGTAAGGGCGCATCTTGTCGGTCAGAGCATGAGATTATTGTTGTTAGTCTCAAATCCCTTTGTTTTTCGTTTCCTATTCCTTCCGATAACGGTTTTACCTTAAAATACAGATTAAGCATCACGCTCGTGATATATATAGTCTGACTAGCCAGCGTCCCAAACAAGAGGAAGGCAACACCGAAGTATCCATATCTCTTTACTATTGGGTGTTGAGCCTACTACACAAAAGTGGTAATTATTAGATGTCGCCTAAAAGACCCCGAAGAGAGATTGTAAACCGAAGATAATTTGTTATGGGTGAAAACCGAGCACTGTACTCTGTAAGGTAGTGTATTTATTGATAGCGCTAAACGGCCCGCACACCCCAATTGGACTGCTCTTCCAGAAAAGGACGCGTTAAGATGATAGGTCATAAACGGCACGTGTTTCAAAGGGCAATAAATATCACCTGATTTCTAACGGCATTTTCAAAAACCGTTGAAGCAACTTTCGAAAGCGGAGCTCCGGACGATTGGAACTGCTGAGCAAGGGAAGGGAGGTGGTCGTAGTCAATGTCAATAGTGCCAATAAAGACGCCGATCTCTATCCCCTAATTTTAGGTCTTTAGATCGCGTTTTTGAGTCAGTCTATTAGCCATACAATTTCCTCTGAACTATTTCTTGGTGCCTGTGCAAGGCAATGGCGTGATTGATTGTATCATAGTTATCATCGTCCATTCACGCATCATAGAATATAGAAATGCATCATGCATGTTGAATTGAGACTAATTTAGCCACCCGGATTTTGTGGCGATGAGGCGGGAGTTTCCTTCTCCGTGAGACACCTGTGGGGCAGCCCATCGGGGTTGTGAGACTAGCCCATTGACTAGCGAAGATGGGGAAGCTTAGAATGATGAAAAGCCGTGCCGATCATCGCGTAATTTTCTAACCGACATGGGGCTGCTCCAAAGGGTCTCTCCCGCGTCGTGTGAGAGTGAGAGAAGAGTTGATGAGATGATATCATCCCAGATCCGACTGGGTTGTGATTTTCTCTACAAGATGTTCGCTTGTTTGGAAACTTCCACCAACTCAGTTTCAAGTTGCAGTATCGGATGCTAAGGTTAGATCACTCATGCGAGTATCATGCAAGCAACACTCGGTTAATAGAGAGATACAAAGGTTGTCCGAGAACCGACTCCAAGACTAACGAAGTGAGACATTCTCCACACCAACCACCGAAGCGATTGCATCAGAGATCGATGCACCAATATAATCCTCCCCAATAGCGTAACGCTACAGCCTCACGAACCCGTAAATAGTATCTGAGCATCCCATTGCCACATTTATTTGGCTTTCGAATATAAAAGCCCTCCAATTCTCCCAAAGTTCGACGAAAATCATCAATCACAAGCTCAACCATCACTCAATCTACGAAACGAACGAAACAAACCACTCTCAAACCGCCACCATGAAGTTCACTCTCGCCGCCGCTTCTACCTTCTTCACCGCTGCTCTCGCAGCCACTCTCCCCAAGTCTTTCACTCTTGTCGCTGACGGCGGCAACACTGTCCTCACTGACAACAGTACGTACCACCCCTAACCCAACCCTTCATCGGAAAACGTAACTAACATCGAACAGCCCACGCCATCGTGGACTTTACCCAAGCCAACACTCTGAAGATCCTGCGCCGTACGTCTCACGCACCCTATCTAATACTGCGTGAACCAACCTAACAGCATACAGTGAACAGCCAGGACGGCGCCACCATCACCTTCACCCAAGAAGGCGCTCCCCCCACTGCCTGGCAAAACCTCTTTGCCATCGAGGGCAAGTCTGAGCCTCTTGGCCTGACCACCCCTCACTCCGGTGCCACCCCCACAGGCGCTGTGCTCAACGCCTGGGGCATCACTGAAGACGGCTACCTCACTTTCCAGGGCCAGAATTCCTTCGGTCTTTCCGCGGACAAAAAGCAGGTCTACTTCCTTGGAAATGACTCCTCTATCCCCAAGGTCACTCTCTGGGTTAAGAATCTCAACTAGACTGGTGCGTTCTGTTTAGTTGGAGGCTTGGGGACTTGATGACTTGAGGTCATTCCTTCGCATGTGGATATAGTCTAGGCTGGCATTGGACATATGGACCATAGTAAATAATATGAACACTTCCATGACATCATGTTTTTTCGCGTGTTTTGTATATTCAATAGACATTTGTCAATGGGGTAAAACTGGACAAGGGTTGCATGAAGATGGTAATGCATTTGGAGAATTGGGAGCGATGTTCAAAATATGTGAATGGTTACCTGGTTACGTACTAGATGTTGTGGTGAATGTGTTGGGGGTTTTTAAAATATGCAAGTCTACATTTGTCGACATGTATCAATCATTTTTCCAAATATCCTTTCGCATATCATGTCGCGAAGGTATTTAGAGCTAGATGTTACTTAATTTGGGTCAAATATCTAAACTTTAGGCGTGGTGTACCCGAACTATGACTACACAGCTTTGGTGACGACCGAATTTGCCCAAAAGAGCAAGTCATAGCTACCTCATTCCGTCTCGAATGACTTCTCATCCCATCCATATTTTCTCTTTAGACGACTCGCAAGGTAAAGAAGTCTCCAACCCTCGATCCGGGACTGATGCGGCCGGTGGAGCGTGATAGACTTTTGGACATTGAAGCCTTCAGGAGGAGAGAAGGTATAGATGGACCCAGTCTTTGGCATAACAGAGAATCTCATGTGCGCCATAGCTGCTTGGAATGCAGCCCAAGTGATTGAGCTCCGTGGTCTCGGGTTGGAGAAAAGGGTCGAGAATACCTCTAAGGAGGATGGCTTTACTTTGAATGCTTGGGAGGGCGCTGCAGGTGCAGGTTCCGTTGCGGGAGCTGCTGTTGGAGCGATACTGTACACGGATGAATGTGGTGGGCGGGTCTTGATCTTTTCCTTGCGCTGTTCAATTTGAATCTCCCGGCTGGGCGCTTCAGGAATTGACGAAGCCAGCTCAGTCTGTGCTATCTGTTCGTTCTTCTCCTTCTGCTGTTGAGCTTGATCCTGCAGGCCTGACAAACATTCTTCGTTCAAATCCTGATAGAGGAAGCCGATATCTGCACCTGTTTTGTTGGATATGAATTCGTCAAGTGTGGTCAGCGCACCTTGAGCCATTCCCGGCTCCATAAGATTATCGATGGGCACTGCAAACGCCGACAAGTCAATCTCGGATTTTAGCGGGTCAAGCTCAGACCCCAGTGCCTTTAGCCGAGAAATATAAGCTTGTCCCTTCTTCGGATTCATTGGTGGCATGGGAAGAGACGTCGAGAGACACTGGACGAAATTGGTTGTCACGGCAAGATCACCGAAAGCGTCAAATTCGCTCTCCCCCATCTTTTCTTGCTCAGCAGGATGTGTTTGGTGGAAGTCATCTAACTTTCGAACCCATTCGACTGCCTTGGAGACATTTGTGTCTGTTTGGCAGAGGCGAAGTATATAATGGAGTTGCGGATCGGTTCTGGTAAGAGTGTCCGGCTTGGTTTTCATCGTTACCCGCGCGGTGCCGTTATCATATACGCCAGAGACGCGCTTGAAATGTTTATCTCCAGAAGCCATTTGTACGTGGCGCTTAAAAAGCTGCTGACCTCGCTGGTACTCAAAATGACAAACGTTTGCCAGCTCCTGGAGAAAGGCACTTCTGTAGGTCCGGTCGTTGGGGCCGGCTACGAGAGCCTGGAGAAGTTGATGGATATACCCCCAGACTGCAGCACCAACCACGGCATTGTGGATCATCTCGAAAAATGCGATGTTGATATACTTATCTGTAATCAACGGCAATCTTCGACCTTTCTCATCCGCCACCAGCTCGGGTCGACTGAAGAACCAAGCGTTGACAGCATGAGCAAGGAACTCGGGCTCAGCCCGACAAAGAAGTACATAATCCTCCAAAGCCGACTTCTGGTCAAGAGAAAGAGCAGTCAGGTCTTCCAAGGAGAGCTTTTCTGGCTTCTGGTCAATTGTAAGTTTGGACATAGCCTCCCGTGCGGCCTTCTCTGACTTTTTGGAGCGCCCTTTGGCCTCAACGGTAGAACCCGCTTCAAGGATGTCCTGGATCACGATATTCATGGACGTTAGTAGGATAGACTGTCTTTCCAAGATAAGCTCGCCCGTCGACTGAGGGACAATCAATCCAGCATCCACCCCAACTTTCAACGCAGTCATTGTTTCTTTGTACTTCTCCCGGTCAGAGACTGTGAAGGATTGTCCATATCGTTCTTCGTCCATGAACAACGTGAAGCTATAGCGAAAGGGATCAACATGTTTAAGGCCATGGACCTGCATGCTCCGTAATATGACCGCTGCATCACCAGGGCCACCGTTGACACCCTCGATGTACTGCTCAGATAAAGATTTTGTCGCGCGATGTTTCAGGCAATCGAGCAGATAGTCAGAATCCGGATTGGCGATGTCACGCAGATTCCAGTCAGGGATGACCTTGAAAACATCGCCTAACGATCTATCGATAGGCGACTTTAGCATTTGACTTTCGGCGGCCCCGGCTCTCATGACCCTTTCCCGTTGTCCCTTGCCCAGGGAGTGCCATATTCCCTCGATCTTTGGTCCATGGAGCTGATATTTACGCGCAAGGTCGCGCTGCAGCTCTTTTACCAATTCGGGTTTCTCCATTGCTTTCTGAATGGATAGTGATGACCCGTGCGAGGTGATTCATGCGCACGTTGAATTGAATTTCAATATTAAGTTCAGGTGGGCCGCTGGATTGCGGGCACGTGACTGGTTCTGTATGGGGAGTTGGGAATTGTTGCTCTCGCAAGATACCTCAATTACACCAGTCTATCGGCCCCTATTTATGTGTTTTCTCGCGTAATATTAAGTATTCATCTGAGGAAGCAAGTGTAATGCATGATCCTTGCAGCTATCGGGAGAAATCATGTAATTGACGCCCGGAGCCAGTCTTCAACGGGCCTTGATGATCAGCGAATGGTTGCAAGATAAGAAGCCGGTTTCCGTGAGCTGGCCAGATTGCAATCGCTCCGTGGCACAGACATGTAGCGGTGAGTTCACCGGTCGCAATTGGTACTTATCAGGCTTTCGGCTTTCTTTGTTGAGGTGTATTGACCCTTGAGATCTTCGAGGCCTCGCAGCCCAGGGCGCGCGATACGGCCGTGCCCCCTCCTGGTTATATTTGTAGGAATTTTTAGGGGTATTAGCTGTGTTGAATTGGTTGACTCCGCACTCTGTCTAGGATATGGATCCTGATGGAGATAATTGCGTTGTTCACAAAAGCAGTATATTTAACCGCCGAATGTAGGGTATCTTTTAAATTTCGAAAAAGACTGTGGGGCGCCAATTCAGGCCTATACAGAGGGTGTACATAGCTACAATCATATATTATATCCAGGTAAATACCCAGTGTAAACAAGGTTTCATAACTCATCATAACTCATATTCCAGAGCAATTACTTCTAATAAATATACACAAACTCATCGTTCTCCCGATCCGTCAAATCAAGGAAAGCATTATTGCCCACCTGGTTGTCTGTCTCAACAGCCTCAACCTCAGCATCCTCCTCGGAAACTTGATAATTATTCTCCATGGACCGATCGACAATCTTGGCTGGCTTCCCATTCGCCACACGCCGACGCTCCTGCATTTTGTTGAGCACAAACAGATTGGCCCATTGAATCAGCACAATAGCAGCCATGGCTACGAAGATACCCAGACAGGCCCGGAGTCCAGGTTGATATGCGGGCGCATCATTCTCATTGAACAGGAGCGGTCCAACAATGTTTCCCGCCGAAGAAGCGGCATTGTAAAGACTCATGACGATGGACTTCTTCGTTTGTCCTGCAGTGTTTGCCACAATCCACGAGACAATGAGCGGGTTACCACCGAACAAGAATGAAAGCAGATAGTATCCGGCCATTAGTGCACCTTGGACGGAGTCATCCCGCGGGAGAGCGTACAAGACCGCAAGACCTGCCACGACAGGTAGCATAAAGGAAGCGAGAACGACGGCCTTGAGGCGGGCTTTTTGTGCGAGATAGCTGGCAAGCAGAATGATGATGAACTGAAGGGCACCGAAGGGCATGTTGAGTAACGTTGTCTTGAACTTATCAAAGCCGAGTCCTGATAGGATCAGAGGACCGAAGACATTCGTCACCGACGCGCCAACGTTGAGTAAAAATGCCATTCCAATCCAGATGTATGTTTTCGGCTCTAGTCCGGCCTCTATAACGTGATGCACCTTGAATTCTCGGCTTCCGGCTCCGGTTTGGTTGGCTCGGAGGCGCTCCATGGCCTGAAGCTTTTCTTGGTCGTTTAGGAATCGGGCTGAAGCAATATCGTTGTCGAGCTTCCAGTAGAGGAATGGCGACGAGATAATGGTAATAAGGCCGACGACGAGGAAGATGCTATTGGTGGCAAAAGTCAGTTAATGTCTTGGGTCGATAATATGGAGATCTCAAATCTAAGCGAGGCAAAAAACTTACATCTGCCATTCTTTAAGCACACCAGACTGGATATGTCCCAGCCCATAACTGAGGGCCGCAGCAATGATGGTCGCAAGACCATTGGTGCTGTACCAAGCTGCCACTCGCAGTGGCTGCTCCGCACGACGGTACCACTGAGCAGTGATGATACTGAACAGAGGTAGACAGCCTGCCTCGAAGAGACCAAGAAAGAACCGGGTGGCCATTAGCCCGCCGAAGTTGTGGCAAGCGGCCATTGCCGCCTGTGCGACACCCCATCCGGCGACCAGAGCAGGAAGAAGAATCCTGTGTGGTACTTTGACAATCAAGAATGAGGAGAATGGCTGCCATGCCAGCTGGGCGATTGGAGCGATAGAACCAACCAAGGAATACTCATTGCCGGAGAGGTGAGCGTCCTCCTTTAGGCCGAACGTGGCACCATATCCCAGAACCGTCTTGTCGAGAATTTGTAGGAAGTAACCCCACATAAGGATTATCAGAATGGTCCTATCAGTCTTATTTCGAATCCGCTTGCTATCCTCTTCGGTCAGGGGAACCCGCACGACGTTGATGTGGTCCATGTTCGCGGGTTTGACCGGATCTTCATGGTGAGATCCTTGTGGCTTTGGATCCATGATGGGTGAGATAGTAGAGAGCTATAATAGAATAAGATAGCCTTCGCAGCGGCCTTGTATAACAAGCTGGAAGTTGGGGATGAGTTTTTCATATTGCCGTTTATATATGGCATATTCCCCGCAGGTAGCCAGCGCTGAGCACCCCCACGCCTTTACTAAACCCCAGATTCGTTACAAGATAAGTTTAGCGTAATATGGAGAACTTGATTCTGGGATCTTTTGCCGTTATCCAACCAATTACTCAAATTGTAAGCTTGAGTGGATCCGATACGATCCCCGCAAAAGCATAACCGCACTTCGGACGAATGGCCCTCGGCTTCCCCCACGGAATTGGAACCCCCACGGTCTGTGGGGAGTCCAAGGGTCCTGGACAACTACCTTTATAAACGGATGGGATGCCCACGGAGCTAACTGGATTGTTCCTAGAGTGTGTAACTTGCCACCCAAAAACCATGCCACCTCGTCAGAGGCAGACATCTGGAAAACTTAACGGAAAAGCAGGATGGGCCAGGCCTCCTATACTTTTATGGCTATATCGGGAATCAAATAGTCTGTAGAACAATTTCACAAGCATGGCGAACGGAGCACGTTGCATGGTCAGGTACGGCAAACGGAAGGATTAAGAGACAAGACGGGTTTTTTCTATCAAGCCTTCCCCCAGCTATAATAATTCTGATCATATATGAAAATTGGTTTCTGAGTCTCCTATATGGATAACGGACGTCATACAGGGGTTCTTCCTCTATGGACGTAGATTGGACGTAGATAAACATCCACGGCCATGTGGATAGGCCGGAGTCAGAAAGGATGAAAGGGAGAGGCAAAATCGGAGCTTGTATATAAAGGCAGACCGACGAAATATTTATATAGCTGATTAGTTTCAATATCCTCATAAAATTGTATTAAAACTATAACGAGTGTATTTGCCATAGTGTAATATGCATCACTGAAGTTTACCGACTACCTCAAGGAATATATACAATGCCGATCGCCAGCTGCCCTGAGTATGTTGCTGTGAATATGTTGCTGTGAATGTGGAATCCTCTACATCAGTGTGCTGTGACACCCCACGTCTTAGATAGGGCAATGTGTGAAGTACCAAAATGAGAATTCAAGAAATAGGCCAAGCTTTCCAAAGCTTAAAGTGTAAAATAGTGACTTGGCAGGTGGAGTCTGACGTAGTATATCCAGGGCACGGCATTGCACGTGCCAAAAGGAACCGTTACCTAGTATTACCAGGAAAGAGATTATCCAGTGAAGTGGGAAATAGAACTCAGATATCCTGTCAGCATTGTCTTGACGGTTAGTATCCTATTCGAGGTACAAAACTCTCCTTGAACTCATTGGTGTACGTGAGTTTTAAGTTGCGACATGTGATACACTTCTCTACATGCCAAGAGACGGACTATAATGCCAGTAGAAGATATATTTACCCGTAACCTCTCATGGGCTATTGTTAGGTATTTAATGTCAGCCTATGGAATCCACTTGTTATGAGAGTATGTGTCCTATTGATCTGGGCGCGATGCCCTTAGTTCTATTATCAATTCATTAGATATTGACACCTATGGGAAAGTTGGAAATACAGAGATGGATAAGAATTGGGCTGAGGTGGAGTCCTATTTAAATGCTCTACTGACTGTCATTCGCCTTGTCGTCTCTTAGCCGGGTTCTAGCGCGCACCGTCACATTTGGCCCCCAAGTCCACCATCTCATCTATCAATACATGTGTGTCAGTTACTTCGTCCAGAGTGTAGACTAAATCAAGCTGTCCAACTCCGATATAGATACCGTGTGTTGCGATGATACTGCATTGTACAGATAGTCTAACAACAAAACTAAAGCCGTTGAGCTTACAGCAGTTATAAAGATGTATGTACTACCTGTTCTACACACGTAGGCTAGAAAGTGCTAGTGCTTACATGTTATTTACAATGGGTCTACTGAAAAGAAACTAGCATAAGGCTGGTTAGCCGCAGCAGAGCAAGCATGAAACATTCCCTATCAATGAACCTATATTGGATGATGCGGTCCGTGCATTTGGCCAGGCTATACACAACATCACCGGTAAAACTTCAATTGGTAGACTGTGCCAAGGTGGATCTTGCACAAACAGGCAGTGTTCAATCCTTGGTCTCTACCTATAAATGAGAGTCAGCCCCCCCCCCGGAATTCAGTTGTTTTCGTATTCATATCTGGATAGCACGAGACCTCTATTCAAGATGTCTCGCCAACTTGACAGGCTGGCTCAACCAGCGAACAAAAAGAAGACGAAAGTCATTATCGCCAGCTGCAGCAGGTGAGGAACAATCTTGCAAGTCCTTCTGTACCTCGAGTTGCCTTTAACCACGGTACAAGCACACTACCACAGGATGGCTGATTAGCTATAGATCGGGTACTTTGGGCCTCCTCGCCGCCATGAGGATATTAGGCTTCAGTCCATACCACATGACTGAGGCTTGTTTTAGTGGCCCATTACATATGAAGATTCTAGAGGAAGCCGTGATTGCACAGCATATTCGCTTCTCAGGTATCAAGCGATACGAAAGGGCTGAATTCGACAAGTGGCTGAGTAAATATGACGTATGTGGGCTGCAAATCTTCGTTTGTGCGTGGTCTATCAGATGGTAGCTAATCAGATAGCAGTGCTTCATTGAACTTCCCAGCTATTTTGGCGCACAGGCTCTCGAAGTATACGCCGAAGACCCGGATGTCAAGTTTATTCTAACACACCGTGACCCGGACAAATGGGTGACATCAATGAACAACACCGTCGCCAATGTAGTGAGAATGGCAACTTCGTCCCCATGAATATCTTGAAACACTTCGATATCATGCTCAAATGCTTCTTCCGTCTTGATCAAGTCATGTTCTGGGCTATATCCGGCGGAACAAATCCCGGGGACCCGAACAATGAGGCCGCGCTGCGTAGGAACTATGTTGAATAGTAAGTGACAATGCTCTATCCCCTCCTCTCTTCATCTATATGTGAAGATTAAGCTATAAGATCCATATAACCTGAGAACAATAGTATTCAATCCGCGAAAAGCATGCTCCCCAAGGAGACACATTTGTTGATTAAACTCGAGGAGGGCCTCGGCTGGGAGCAGATCTGTCCGTTCTTGGACCTGCCAAACCCCGATGAGAAGTATCCACGGGGAAACGAGCCAGAAAAGTTCCAAAAACTGTTAGAGGACACCCTGAAGCCCAGAGTCCAACGAGCTGCATTGAAAGTGGGAGCACTGGCTGTGACTGCACTTGGAATTATAGGCTATGCTGGGTGGCGTATATCTCATTGAAATATCGTTAGGGGAATCATGTTTTGTTTTATATAACTGTTACAATCGTAAAACAATCTACGATGCTCCTGCCTCTTCAAGAAGGTCTGCCACGGCTTTATGACCACCATATGATGCTAAATAGAACGCAGTAAAGCCCTTAACAGATCTCGAATTTATATGGGCATTCCTTTCCAGCAGACATCTCACCACCGCTTCATCACCGCTCCAAGCGGCTAATGAGAGCGCGGTCAGGCCTTCCGAATCTCTTGCCTCTATATCGGGGTTCTTCTTCAGCAACAGCCTTACCATTGTGTCATCGCGATTTTCAACGGCTATTAGTAACGGAGTTCTGTCAAGATACCCCTTGATTTCAGTATTGGTGCCCTTCTCCAGCAGGAGACTGGCAACCGCATCATACCCATTTTGAACTGCCAATAGAAGCGCAGTGTAACCGGACTTGTTCTTTGCTTCAATACCAGCATTCCTGTCTAGTAGAACTCGCACCACCGCCTCATGGCCATATTCAGCGGCCATAATAAGAGGTGTGTCACCCTTACGTGTCTTTTCCTCGGTATCAGCATTCCATTCCAGCAGGAGCTTAACCACAGCCTCATGGCCCCCTTTGGCTGCCCGGGACAGCGAAGTCATGCCCCATGCATCTGCTGAATTGACGTTTGCACCATTTTCTAGAAGTAGCTTTACTACTGCTTCGTGGCCCTGAATTGCGGCCCACAGTAGTGGAGTCATGTAAAAAGAGTCTCTTGGATCGACATCATGTGATTCTTCTAACAGAATTGACATGGACTTAGAGAGCCCTAGACACGCTGTAAGGTGCATGCTTTCCATATCTGGATTCCCAAGGCTAATGCCAAGCTGGCTATGTAGGATAAATTGACCGCAGACGGACAGTTTGGCAGTGTTATGGATGAAGTCTAAGACACACTTATCCTCTTCCATGCAAGCCTTTCTGGCATGGTATCCCCAACTCAATGCAGCATAGCGATACAAAGGATTTGACCACGCTCTCATGATGAGGTTCATTGATGTTAACAAGTGGTCACCATCGAAAATTTTGAATGATAAGTAGGTGAGGCAAGCTCTTGTCAAGTCAGTGTGCCCTTGAAGAAGCCAATCCTTGTAGGTGCGTTCAAAATACTCTTGCGTTGTATAATGGACAAGCCGGACTGCGTCACTCTTTTCGTCTACTATCACCAAGCCCGCACATACTGAGACAGCCTGTCCAATATCTGGCATATTATCTTTATCAAGCTCTGGCGCGTTGAATTCAATACCAAGTCCTTGCTGTAGCTCTGATAATCTAAGGCTCCTTGTAGCACAGGTAATCCATGATAAGACTCGATTGGCAAGCTCCTGGTGCTCTGGCGCTTGGCCGCGAATTCGCTCCATGGCTTGATTATATGCATAGTCCAGAACCTTGGGCTTCTGGCCGTTCTTTAAACTTTCCGCGGATGTAGCCTCAAGCTCTGCAAGCACACCCCTTATGGCCTTAGGTGTTGTTTTATAGACCAATGAGTCAACATAAAGCTTTGCGAGAAGAAACCTAGTGTATGTCAGCCAATGCAAGGTAATGGTCATCATCACGTGGTACAGACATTCCATCAACTGCCCGAGCAAGTTTGGTCTTAATCTCTGCTTGCAGAGTAGGGTTATGTAAAACGAAGGACGGAAAACTCTGCAACCGCCGTTCAAGATATCGCTGCACGTCTATGTCGCTAGCCCGGATCTCCAGCCTGATGCTTTTCTCAAATCTTTTTTCAATCTCATGGACAAAACGCGAAGTTACAAGGATGTTCGCCTTGGTCCTTTCCTGTATACCGAATATTAGGTGGAGAAATCTTGCCCGATCTTCATTGGAGACCTGACATTCGTCCAGTGCGTCGATGACGATGAAAATTCTCGAGTAAGAGCCAGCGACACTGTACAGGGTGCTTAGAATTCCTTCGTGAGTCGGTCGACTTTCTCTTCGCTTGCATTCATCGTAAAGTATTCTGACTACATTGGGAATAAAAGGCTGTCCTTGGACAAGCTGCTTCAACAGGCTTAAAAGAAGGTCGGTGTACCGCTGTTCGTGCTGCTGTCGGAAATTGCAATAGATATAGGTGATGCTAGTCATAGGCTTATTCCGGTATTCACGGTAAAGATGATCGATGGTAGTTGCGGTGATCATGGTTTTACCTGCTCCGGGCATACCGGGACAGAATAGGCTCTGTTTGCTTTGGCTAAGCCATTGCTTGAATTCAGTTGAATTCAGAAACCACTCCCCAGTTCCTTCCTGCCGCCGGGCAATGAAATCGTTCTGTTGGAGAGCATAATTTACTGGTGTAAGCCAATCAATAACAGCTTGGTATTCTCGGTCATCACCGAGCTGGCGTAACCTTTTGACCCCACGATCGATATCTTGGGTTGTCTCATTAATCGTTCTCACTGAAGGATAATCAGTGTGGTTGACCAGTAAAAAGGGGCTTGTTAAGCTTACCAGTGGAGAGAATCTCTATGATCTTCTTCTCTGCCTGCACATGTTGAGGAGAGATCCGACACAATAGGTCTTTCGTGTAAGCAGCCGCTGCCATTGCCGCATACCCTTGCCATGCCTTATTTTTATGGGAGTCCGAATAGTCACAAATACCACGAATGACTAGGCAGGGGAAGTGATTCATCAGCCCGGCCGCCTCCATTTCAAAACATAGAATATCCTTCTCCATGATCAGCTTATCCCTAATGCAGGCATCTTTCATTAACTGATTCGCGGAAGCGACCAGCCCATAATGAACCATCGGGTTGTCTTCTTCTTCTGTACGGGGGTTTCGCAGCACGAGGGTAGAGGGATCATCCCCGCAACTTACGGTACAATTAGATTTGTTGTTTAGAGGATGAACAATATGACTTTGGTACAGCCGATCACTGGCTGGACCCGGTTGTCCGTATTTCCTTCGCAATCTTGGGTTTCTTTCCAGGACGTGATCAATATTATCTGCTAAATAATGACCTTCGATCTCATATCGCGCCTGAAGCCCATTGACAGCTGCGCGCAAAACTGCGGGCGGCTGGTCTAGGTAGCCTGTCGGGCAAAATGTTTCACCTTGGATGGTCTTGCCATAGTCATACTGAAATACACCCCCATGGCTATTCGAGGGGGTACTAACGACGACATCCCCAAGTCGAATATCATGGTCTGTACTTGGCGCACCGCCGCCGATGCCGACCATCAGGCCAATTCGGACGTTCGGAAAGCTGTGCAGCATGGTTTCTGCCACGCGCGCTGCTGAGGAGGTGCCATATTCGCCGATTGGTAGTACAGCAATGACCACGTTATGGTCCGCAATTCGGCCTAATATGTAGTCATTTTTATTTTGTGGGGATAAATATGCTGGATTTTCGTGCTTTTCGTCAAGAAATGCCTGAGCAGCGACGTATTCGGCAGTGATCGCGCAGATCCAGCCGACGGTATACTCGCTTGGATCGACCATGTCGACGAATACCTACCTCAAAGCAACGTTGCAGTGACTTGAACTATGCTTAAGGTGCATAGAATAGTTTGGGGTTGCAGAGTAAAATTAGATAACAAGTTTCAGCCCGATGAGTCTACGGATAGGGTCCAAAAAGTGGAGCAGATAATCTCTTCTCTCTTCCATGCTCAGCCTCGCGAATTAAATCGGCAGGCAAACCAGTGTGTACTAGTAATTCATACACATACATGCCAACTACTAGAGCGTCGTTTTCTCTAACTAGTCCTAGCGACATACTGAAGAAATCATTCTTATCTCGTTTTGCGAGGCGATGTATAATAAGGGCCACAGGCAATCTTTCTATTTCAAACTGGTGCAGCTGCATCTGTCAGATTTCGATTAGAGTTCAACTGATGACAGAGACTCAGAGAGCCATATATCACAGTGATAACATGATCAATGAACTTAAAACATCGCATGACATGCCATGGTGGTTTGTCGGACAAATAAACGATCACCACGTCTGTGGACTTGCAGTAGCACAATGCGATTGACGAATCCAAAGCTCATCTCCCGCGGGGTAGATTCAATGCATGCATCCATCACCCGCACACCATTTCAGAGAGTGGGGTAAATGGGTAGATAAATAATAATTGTTATGTTGATGGGGGAAAAAACAGCCAAGAGGATGAATTAGTATAGATAGATGAGAGGTCTACCTATTCACTACAAACCTAGAGCCACGCTTTTCGCAGAATCAAAAGAAAATCAACACCATGTCTGTCAACAGTGTCTCCCTGTCGGGCTCGCATTCTATCTCGAAGACTGCCGCGCCCAGTATAACACTTATCCCAAATCATGGTGTCAAAGGTGATGTCCATGCGGGACCAACTGTCCAGCACCGACCCCTACGAAATACCAGGCCGTCCGATGCAAACCTGCGCCAGGTACACCTGATGCACGCTGAGATCCTTCAGAAAGTGTGTAAAGACCCTACGACCGGAGCGAAGGACATCACCCTCAAACCAGGACAGTTGGGCGAGAACATCACAACCCAGGGTATTGATCTGCTCTCATTGCCCAAGGATACAAAGTTGCTGTTTGTAGATGGCAAAACACCCAGGCAGGACGCACCAACTCTGAGGCTGACTGGTTTGCGCAACCCCGGTCCCCAGCTTGATGCTATGAAGAAGGGTCTGAAGGACCGCTTCTTGGTGAAGGATAGTCGGGGTGTGGTGATCGGATACATGGCTGGTGTCATGAGTGTTGTCGAGAAAGGAGGTGAGATTCGACCGGGAATGGAGATTGTCGTCCAGAGACCAGCAACTAACCTGGCTCTTAATTGTATTTAATGTGAGTTGCTGTGCATCTTGCGATGTACCGCAGGGGCACATCGACTGTTGATCTAGGCCTGCATGTACGCTGAAGAAGCTGTTCAATCAAGACATAATTCTAACACACTCGTCAATCATGCTATACTCAGTCTTCGAAGAAGAATCTATATACACAATTATCTAATTAGTTATCGGGAAACAACCAGTACTTTTCGGATGGGTTTGTGAGTGTTAATGTTCTGGTTTATAAAGAAGCCAAGAGCAGCGGTGAGTCATCCACTATGACAGCGGAATTAATGGGTCAATCGGATTCGACTCGGATGTATAAGAAATACCTATCATCCAGGAAAGCCAATCGGTGCGCTGGGGACCGTGGAGAGGACAGTAGAGGTGGAATTGAACGACGAGTCGCCGATACCGTTGATCGGAAGTCCATTTCCCTGTTTTCCGCCAACTTCTCTTTTTCCTGAAGAGATCTCCGGTATTTCACGCCAGTGGTGTAGCCACTATACTAGAATTTCACTTGTATCTCCTGCTCTCATCGATCCCCTTGCTGCAATAATCGACCGACCGAAGGATCTTGACGAGCCGCCATGTCGCTGATACAGGCTCTCCATTGCGAGATCCAGCCGGAAAAACGAGTTTCTGCGCCCGCCCCCCCTTCGCCGCCCAATTTGTATTCTGAAAATCTAGGACAACAGACAGAGAGTCGGCGAATTTCACCCAATGGTGACCCGCCGCCAGAAACCGGTCAGCCAATTTTCGAGCGTGTGCCTTCACATGGCACCACGCAGGCCCGAAGGTTAACAGTCACCGTGCTGCTCATTCTGGCGAACCTTGTGCAGGTATGTCCTAATCCAATCCTGCTCACAGAGGGAGGAAAGCTAATGGGACTAGATGACAGTGAACTTTGCTGGTATAGCTGGTGGTAGTACGTTGATCAATGCAATGGGTGTCGGGGGCACATATGCTTCCTGGATTGGAGCCAGCTATGCGTGAGCCTCATCCTACTTCATCAAACACGGCTTAGGGACTGATCGTGTATAGACTCACACAAGGAACCTTTGTCTTGATGAGTGGTCGCTTGGGTGATGTATTTGGACACCGGAAATTGCTCCTGATCGGCGGAGCATGGCTTAGTCTGTGCGTCCTGGTTGGTGCCTTTTGTTATAACTTCTTTGCCTTTGTCACGATGCGTGCCCTTGCTGGTGTTGGAGGTGCTCTCATTATGCCCAATGCGGTAGCAATGATATCGTCCACGAATCCACCGGGACGCCTCCGAAACCTGAGTTTGGGTTTCTTTGCAGCATCGGCACCATTGGGAGGCTACTGTGGAGCGATACTCTTGGGCGCCTTCCTAGAAAACACGGACTGGAAGTGGTTCTTCGTGTTCATGTACGTTGCATTAGGGGAGATAGAAAAAGCTTGATGCTCACAGATTATAGAGCTTGTCTCAGCGCGGTGACCTTCGTTGCTCTGTGGGCTCTAGCGCCATACGAACCGCCGGTCGACCGCCACGGAAAGATAGATTGGATCGGCTCCGCTTTAGGCACCAGTTCCCTGATCCTCTTTAACTTTGTTTGGAAGTAGGCGAACCCCGAGCGAGGCAGGATGCGGATGACGAGCTGATTTACTCTCACAGTCAGGCACCCAGTGTTGGGTGGTCCACCCCTTATGAAATAGCTCTCCTCCCAATATCACTGATACTCTTCGGCAGCTTTCTAGTTTGGGAAAAAAGATTCGCGGCGCAACCAATCATGCCACTCGAAATCTTCAAGGCACCATCCTTCCTGACCCTGCTCCTAGTCATCCTCCTAAATTACATGGCAGTAGGTACACTAATCTGGTACCAGGTGCTCTGGCTACAGGAGGTATGGCATTGGTCCCCTCTGCATTTCGCCGTCGGGTGGACCCCTTTTGTCGTCTGTGCAACGGCCGCAGCATCCCTTGCTGCCTGGCTGATCCCTCGTCTCGCGGCGCAGTGGATCCTGGCTATAGGCACAGTCACAATTCTAGTCTCTAATGCCCTGATGGCCACCGTGCCTTTGCAACAATCGTACTGGGCCCAGATCTTCCCATCTGTAGTTCTTTTCTCGTTCTGCCCAGACTTTGTCTATACGGCGGGGCAGATTATTGCGAGTAATTCCGTCCGAAGGCACCAGCAGGGTATCGCTGGTTCTATTATTGGAACGCTGAATCTATACGGTAACAGTCTGGGACTCGGGTTTGCGTCGACCATTGAGGTCCAAGTCGCTCAGCGTGTCCACAGCCAGATCACGGGATATCGAGCAGCCCTGTACTTTGGTGTTGCCATCAGTGCGGTGGCGCTGATTTTAGATGTTTGTTTCGTAAGACTGGTCAAGGACGAGCGTGAGGGTTGGGAGGAAGAAGACCTCTTAGCTATGAATGAGATTGAGCTTCAGGGACGTGCGGAAGCTACCGGGGCTCAATTACCGACTGCACCTGTGCGGTCATAAGATCCTTGGCTGTGATGGGACACAAGAGGCTCTTGCATGGGAGGCTGGAGCGGGGAGGGAACATCTTGAGTTGTAATCTGGGGCGCATTGGTTGCGCGTTTATCGCGTGGGGGATCTTTTTTTTTTTTTTTTTT